TTTCTCAGTTTTTGTTGACATCCATTATTAGAAAATTTTAAGCTTGGGTCTGCAATCACAGTTGTTGATGATGATGATGAAAACCCCGTTTTCAAATTTCATTATTTCTGGGAAGTTCATCTTTCTAAGTCTTTGTTAACATCCATTATTAGAAAATTTTAAGCTTTTGTTTTCTTGATTTGATGTGAGTTGGACTAGAAAGTAGTTTGAATTTGGTTTTTGTTTTATTTTATTTTATTGGGTGTCTTCTTATTGAATCCTTTCAACATTTGTATTGATCCTTGTTGTGGGTATTGTTGATTAGGTAGTTTTCATGCTGTATTATTCTGGGATTGGGGAGATCAAGGGCGTCAGCGGCGGCAAGGCGACGGGCCGCAAGAAGGAGCAGCCCCTCTCTCTTCTTCTCTCTCGCACTCTGTTTATTTTGAAATCATTTTTTTTTTTTCAATTTACTAACCAAAACGACGTCGTTTTGGTTAGTATTATTTTCAACCATTGGATCTTCTCAATTTAAGAGATCCCTCTAGAGAGTTTACTCTAGAGGATCCTGACGCCCGTCGCGGTTCTTGGACTGTCCAAATTGCATACGGAACTTCATTATACTCTTTCATACATTACCCACATACAATTAGATTATATGATTTGTTTATATGTCTTACTATGATTATAACAAAAAAGACATAATCATTAAAACAGAACAATCGCAAAGAATCCTTACCTAAGAGAGGGAGTTGGGCTAAACCTTTTCAATGGTGGAAATGATTAACCCTTTGCTAATCTTCTGACTCTACTTTAATTAATCTTCAATTCCAATAGATTATTCCATGGACTATGTCTACAATCAAAACACCACCATTCCAAGCTTTATTAATAGTCAAACTTGATTCTAATAACGAAAAGGACCTTTAACACGAATGAGTGGGACAATTTCACCCTAATTTACGTCAATCTCGTCTAATAAATATATGAGAACTCAGTCCTATCTAAGCACTAATTTGCAATGTTTACAAAAAGATTGGCATGTTCTAGTTTGTTTTTCAATTTTGCTCAAAACAAAAAAAATTTTACTACAATAAAGTCCTTATAATTTTTATAATATGACAGGGCTAATTTCTTTGCCTAAATCAGTAAATTGTACGCATATTTCGCTTTTTAAAATAATTTTCTATAATTGCAACCACTACATATAAAAAAGGAAAAGTAAAAAAAAAGAGAGAGTATATAAATACCTTTAATTTCCAAAAACATAAATAAATAAATAAATTGAATATTTACAATAAAACTAGAGTGTTCCAAGAAAAAAAGAAAAAATTAGTCTGGCAAATCTAGAGTTTAACAATTTCACACGGATTTTTCTTTTCTTCTTCTAAATCTTGTGTGGCGATCCAAGGCCCAAAAGTTTTGTTGACAAGAAGAGTTGAATTTAAGAGATCTTTGAGGGAGCAAACTCCTAAGTCCGAAATCTCATCCACCAGGCCAAACTCGGAGTTGGGCTAACTTAACTCACTAACTCGCAAACCTATTATCCCCTTTTTTTTTTTAAAAGAAAAAAAAAAAAATCTCTGCTTCAACACTGACCAAAACCAGTATTGACTCGCCTATCAATCATTCGAACCAGCCTAGTTAATTGTGGGCTTTCTTTGTTTATGTTTAAAGAAAAAACCCAAACTAGACAAGGCTCCGAGCTACCCAACTCAGGGGGAGATTCTATTTTCACACAAAAAATCATTAAGTACTCTTAATTTATAATTATATCCTGTTTAATTATTTAAAATTTTATTTTACTCTTATTATGCGTATTTTTTTTTTCAAATTACCCTCAAGGTAAACCGAAATAATAAATAATAAGCAAACTAAAAAAATTAAATTATTTCAAAAAAATTTCAATACATAAAATAATTATCAAATACAGAAAAATAAAAAAAATAAAAACTTATAAGCACATAGCATTATAAATACTGAAAAAATCAACTTTTACACAAGCATTATAAAACTTTTCAATACAAGGAAAAAAATTATGTTATAAATTATCCACAAAAATGTTCGTGGAAAAGTAAAAATCAAACTTATAAGCACATAAGCATTAGGCACTAACAAGAAAGAGTAATTCTCAAATGATGTACTATTTAAATGGCAAATAAGAACAACTTCAATAATATATTATTATTAATCTAACTATTGAGCCCTTTAATTTTTGTCAAAAAACGATATTAAAAATAATTGATGATACTCTATAAAAATTATAAAATCCTTTTATATGAATACTTACCTCTTTTTTGATGGGTTTTTTCAAAAAAACTATTTTCATTATTACTCTCATCCATTATTTGATTTTGTTCAAACTTTTTTTCTAGGGTTTTGGGTTTCAAAATAATAAAAAACAATGATGTTGATAATGATGTTGAGTTTTGGTAGGGTGAATTGGAGTTTTGGAGGGAGGATGAAGAAGAAGAAGAAAAAAAAATAACTTTGATCTCCTTGGGAAGAAGATTCAGAGATTTGAATAGGAATAACTGATTAGGGTATATCATGAGAAAAAAAAATTATTTTAAGATTTATGTGCTGTCCTTATTAGTAAATTCATATTAAGATATAATAAAAATAAAAATTTATAAATTTAAATTAAACATAGTGAAATATATTTTGAATTCAAACAGAATCCCTCCAACTCAGGAGTCAAGACCAAACAAGCCCAGCCCAGGACACTTTACCCAATAGACCTTTAATTATCTGAATGGACCAAACAAAAAACCATAAGACTGTGGGCTGGAATGGATAGTTTGATTTTGTAACTTTAGGCCTATGGATGCACCAATATTTACCATCTAATTTGCTCAACCCAACCTGTGTTATATTATGAATAAAGATTGGGACTCTCTTTCCCCTCACTCCCTTTGACCTCCTTTCTTTTTTGATTAGTCACTTTTTCTTTTTCTTTTTCTTTTTCTCCTCCAATCACCACCCACCACGTGTGTGTGGGGGTTGAAGTTTGAGAGAGTCTAAATCACTGTTGTTATATTATATACTTTTACTGTTCAAAAAAAAAACTGTTTATATTATCAAACGAGTTAATTTCAGTTGAATTGGATTGGCATGAGTTGACGAGTCAATGATTTTATTTTTTTTTCCACGTCCCTATCTATAAGTTTACGTTTTTTCATCATCATTAAAAAGTTTTAGATTCTTAAAATACGATGTACTCCCACTAATAATAACTACTCCAAGTTAGTTATTGATTAATTTAAAAATTAATCATTTGAAATTCAACTTTCTTTTGCATCATTAAAGATAAATTTAAAAGTCATATTTTAATTTTTTTTTAAATTTCTCTTCCATGATTGCAAAAAAAGCTTCATGACATTTTATTATTATTAATAATAATAAAATTTTACTTTTGTAGGGAGGAGAAAAAGAAGTGACCTTAAGATCTAGGTGGGACACATTAAAGATATGAAATTGGTGGACGATGATGGGTCGAGAGTTGCTTTCATTCCATATTTGTCTTTCAAACTTGTGGCTACTAAATTTGCTGGTGAACCCACCCCCAAAACCTGATATCAACAACCTCAACTTTTTTATTTTTTTTATTTAGGCTTATTAATTAAGAAAAAATTGAATTTTTGTAGTATAATAAAAAAAATATTTGTATTGTAAATATAATTTTTTTTAATATAACTCTGACGTACAAAAAAAAACATTTATACCACACACAAAAAATAACTTATATTATATATACAAAAAATTTATATTATCATAAAAATAAAATTATTTTTTTCTGGTACCACTAAAATATAATTTCCCCATTAATTAACACTCCCTCACAAAGTTGCCTAAGTTGTCTGTGGGCCCACCCAATACAAAATTAGCCACGCTGTCCCTCTTCTCGAATCTCCCTATCTGAATGAATTTACTTATGCTTATAAATTAAAATATAAATTGGCTAAAATTCAACCAAAGTCTAAAGTTTATCCAAATTTAATACTATTGTTAAATTTTTATGAAATATTTTGGACCAAAACTAGGGAGTAAAAAAATGTAAATTATTTTTATATTTTGACTTTAAATCAATTTGAATTTGAAATATTAAAAAAAATATTTTAAAAAAAACACTCGATAACAGAAATCAAATAATAAAAAAAAAAATATTGATTCAATTTGATTGTAAATTAAAAATTGATAATTATTTAAACAAAAAATATAAATTATAAATTTAATTTAATTTAATTGAAAATAATAAATTAAAATAATTAAAATATTGTGCAAAAAATAAAATAAAATAAATTTTTATTTAATCTAGCTAAAAATAATTAAAATATTAAAGCCATGTTTAATATTACTATTACTTAATAAATAATTGAAAAGGATAAAATAGTCATTTGAGCACTTATCCTTCTCCATAATATCTCAAACAAACATTGGATAACTAAAAATAATTCAATCCAGACATCAATTCCCATAACTAAACAAACATAGGATACAAATTTAGTCCAACCAAATAGTTCCGGGACAATGTATCCCAGGACTAATAGTCCGATGGATTACAATCCCCCTTATCCAGTCTATCCAAACAAACGCATACCATTTAATTCGCATCAGTATGCATTGATTTATTCGTTAACTGTAGATTAAATTTTAAAATTTATAATCTATTTTTGAAATTGTTCCATTTCGTTATAGTTAACACATATTTTTTAATTTCTAATAAAATATCAAAATAAAAATAAATATAAAAGAAATTTAAAATATAAAATTTATTATTACAAATTAATAGTTATATATATATATAATTAATTTATATTATATATATATATAATATTATATAAACTAATACTATATATTATACAAATACTTAATTATTAGTTAATAATACTCTTCAATCTCCCAATTCATTTCAAGTTGTTGAAACTGTAATTTGCTAATTTCTTAATCCACAGTATCACACACTCTGCTACCCGCAGTTCCACGTGGCGGATGCATAATATGCTACCTACACTCGCGAGTATCCAATACCCGTTCTGCTTTTTTCAATTTCTTTCTCCTCCAACTCTTCTCTGCTCGCCAATCGTGCTTTTTCACTGTTCTTCCTCTCCTCACCTCACCATTATTAAAGCTCTTCACATCGCTCTCTTCTCTCTCCTCCAATCTCTATATTTGTACATCTATATATGTAAGTACGATTAGATTCTGATTGATCAATTTTCTGTATCTATCGCTGAATCGGACGTCGAAGATGATGGAGGAATCGAGAGCGTGAAATTATGCGAACAATTTGCGACGTTTGTGAGAGCGCCGCTGCGATCCTGTTTTGTGCTGCGGACGAGGCCGCTCTTTGCCGTTCCTGCGACGAGAAGGTATTGATTTGATTTTTTTGTATGTGTATGTATGTTTGAGGTTTAGATGTTTGTAAGACTGACTGTTTGGTAAAATTAATTTTTGATGAACATTTGGATCTATCATGTAGTATGACTCTTAATTTGCTAACTGAAAATTGATTGTTTGGGGTTTCTCAATGTTGGAGGTTGAAGCGATTGTTAATTAGTGCTAGAAAAACTGAGATTAAAGGTCACTTTTGGTGCCAAATTCATGTGGATTGGGGAGTGGAGAACCGATACACTACATTAAAAATGTTCAAAAAAAATTATTGTACTTTGCTTTGGATCTTTAAAAATGTCACAGATTAAGATGCATATTTGCTTTATTTTTTGTTTGTTGTTTTTTCCATGTATTAATACATATGTAATGTATATGGTGCGTATACAAATTTTTGTATTAGAAAGGTAGTGCTGAGTAAGACTAAAATAAGAATAGCTATTTCATTTGAATTTTATTTCAATTGCTTCATTATTTTAAGTCCATAGTAGAAAATTGAATAAAAAGAAAATTGTATTTTGATGAATTGGTAATTAAACTTTATCTTAAATCAATTTCTAAATAATTCAAAATTTTATATGTCAAATACTTTTTAGAGGTCTTTGGAATACTTCTAAATATTGACAAAATATAAAATAACCAAACAATTTTTATGTTTTCAATGGTTTAAATTATAAGTTTAATGTATTTACGCTATGTTTGGTTGGGGAATTTGAGGAGTGATTTGGAAAGGAAAAATGAAAAAGTGTGTGAAATTAGGTGAAATGTAGGTATATTTGATTCACATTTCACCTACTTTTTCCATTTCCCTTTCCAAATCCCTCAATCAAACGCAGCATTAGAGAATTAATATTGCCTATTACTTGGATATATGTATGCAATTATTTTTTTTTTTTCATTTTTTTATAAGAGAAGATTTACTAGGTATTACATAAGTTAAAGAAATATATGAAGGATGCAAGGAAAAAAAAGGATAAACACTTTCTATAGTGGGCTTATATTCAAGCTATGCAAAAATTTACATCCTAGAAATATTCAAATATCCATAATGAGTAAATAGATAAGGGTGGGCTAAGGAAATATTAGTTGAACATTGGGGATGCCAAACGGATCATACACACCTAGACAGACATGGGGCCGAAGTAAAATTTTGTGAGTTTGGGGGTGGTGGCCCTAGCTCGTCCTCTATGTAAACATGGACACATGCAACATCTAACAAATCTTTGATGAAAAGTGGAAAATGGACTCTACTAGGACATAAAAATATTGTTTTTGGGAGGTTATAAGATCAAATATGTGGCCTATGAATCATTATTATCGCTAGTACTCACCTACACCACACAATAAAGACATAAAAAGGTGAAACCATGTGGATATGTGCATTTACAAGATTGCATCATGCACTTTTATGTGGATATTCCTTTATTCTCTATATGCATACATATTTTTATGATTATTCTACTCACCATTTTTTTGCATAAAATATTTTGATTCTTTTTCATTTTGAGAATGGATGATAATTTTAATGGAAAGATGTATTAACCTTTGGTTTGATAGTTAGAATGGTACTTTTTCCATGAGAAAAGAAAATCTTATCCCAATGTCCAGTATTTATTGGGCATATGTTTGAGTGCTTGAGAAGTTTTTATGGATGCGCAAGATCTCCCCTTAGGTTTAAAGGGTTAATTGTACTTGCATCTCCCTTAAGGTTTCAAATTAGGTAGCTAGATCTCCTTATTTTAAAGGGGTACTTACGTGTAGGTCCTAATAAGTGGACTTATTGTCTAATAGGTCCTATGAAAAAAATGTCACTGATTGTAAGTTTTAGCGATAATTTATAAAAATCATAACAAAAAAAAGTTACTAATTGTCAATTTTTAACGACATATAAAAAATTGTCACAAAAAAATTATTTTTAACAACAATTTTACCAAAATTTATTTTCAATAGGACTTGATGGGAATTAAGTCCAACTATTAGGACCAATTAGTAGTTTACCCTTTTTTAAATTGGATAGAACCTCCCTGCTGTTGGTATCTGTTAAAAATATTCCATTGTTGACTAGAATGACTCTCTTATCTATTTATCAAAAAAAAAAAGAATGACTCTCTTATCTATGTCATTCAAAACTAAATATTTAAACCTTTTTTTTATATAAATAGATACTATGAGCAGATCACATTGAAATCTCTATTATGTGATGACATGCTTATTATGGTTTTTTACTTTATAGATCATTACAAATAGATTAGGATTTTCATTATACACAGGTCTCAGAAAATTCTATATGGAATTTTTGTGTTCAAAATTCACGCTTGCATTCCTCACAGGGTTGCTTCATCCTAATTTGTTTTATTTACTTGCATGCCATCAAACCTGTGAAGCTTTATATTTACTTAAGTTAATTGGCAGGTTCATATGTGTAACAAGCTTGCTAATCGGCATGTACGGGTTGGGCTAGCCGACCCTAGTGATGTTCCACGATGTGACATATGTGAAAATGCACCTGGTATGCAGGTTTATTTGTTTTCTGCCTTTCCTTTTTCCAGTTTTCAACATTTGCATTCTGCACTACATGGTTTGAAGTTTTCTTCTTTTGAAAACTTGTACATAGCTTTCTTCTACTGTGAGATCGATGGTAGTTCCCTTTGCCTGCAATGTGATATGATTGTACATGTTGGAGGTAAAAGAACACATGGAAGATACCTTCTACTGAGGCAAAGAGTTGAGGTTTGTGATTTTGTATCTGGTTAAGGTACTTTGTAGATATAAGGCCTCGTGAAAGTTCTCTTATTGTTGGGTGTGATCTGTAGTTTCCAGGGGATAAACCTGGCCATATTGATGAGCTAGGTATGCAACCTGGTGAAATAAAGAGGGAACAAAATCAGCCACCTAGGCCTACAATGGGAGAGAACCAGCAACATCACAGGGTGTCTTCTGTTCCAGTGCCAGACACGAATATTGATGACAGTGGCATGATGGACAATAAAATGATTGATCTTAATGCCAAGCCCCAGCGTATACACGGGCAGGCTTCAAACAACCAGGTAGATGTTTTTCCAATATCCTTTTTTGTTCTCTCTTTGAGAAAGGTTCTATTGGGTGATGTTGAACTTTTGATTGGGCTTCTTGTTGCAACCTGAACACCGTAGTTTGGATTTGTGGTTAAGTGATTTATTAAGTTCAATACCTGCTCCTATATTTAAGGAACAAGGAATGGATGTTCTAAGTGGGGCTAATCATGAATCTGCTGGTGTGGTTCCTGGTGGATACTTCACAAGAGAGTTTGAGAACTGATCAAGGTATATATTATATGCCATCACCCATCACAGCTGGTTTTCTTTATGATTTTCTCCATTTTTTGTCTTGTGTAGTGTTTATTATTATCTTCTATAGTTTTTACAAATAGTCCGTTGTGTTGCTTGTTATTGAAGCTGATTACTCGTTGGACATCATTCATAGGGCATGTTTGGTATGACTTTTACAGCTTAAAAAAATTTAGCTTGAAAAAAGCATCACAATTCCAGATTGCATGGGCTGTTGCCGATTTCACAAACCATGTTCTTGACTGGAATTGCTAATCGAATCTTATGTTTGATTATCCATTTCAGACCTGTCAGTGAAATTTTTGATTATCCATTTCCAAATAATTATGTTTGATTATCCATTTACAGCTTAAAAAAATTTTTTGTATTGGAATTTCTGACCTGTCAGTGAAATTTGACACCATTAGGGAGTTCTGTGAATTTCTATTTCCCTATTCTTGCTTTTCATTTTTTTAATAAGAAGACTAGCATATGCTGGAAAAATTATGCTCTCTCCTCTACTACAAGTCTATAACAAGATTGATCACCATATCGACAGCATGCAACAAGTGTTCACAGAATAAGATTTCATTTTTTTTTGTTTGGCCAAAAACAAGTCCTTTGACCAGTAGCAGAGCCTGGATTTTGATTCATGGGGACACTATTAATCTTTAGCGATGTCAATTACAAAACTTAACAAAATCCAATTTTCATTTAGTGATAGAATGACAAAAAATCAACGTGATGTCAAAATTACGTGCCTTAGATATGTTTTAATTAACTGATGCTTTTTTTGTTTGCTATTTTAGTTGCTAAAATGATGATAACCACAATTTAAAATGTAATAACATGTATACAAAAAAAGAAGAAGAAGATAGATTTGGAGAAAAATAAGAGAGAAATGAGAGAGGTAAAAATAATTATAAGAGAATATTTTGATAAAATTAAACATTCATAATGGTAAATTATAAAGAATTTATTAAAAAGAAAGAGAAAAGAAAGATGAGATATAAACATTTTGAAACATATTTGAAATTTAAAAGGGAGTTAAATAAAAAACCTATCTAATTAGAGGTAAAAGTGTAATTTTCAAAAAATGGAGGGGGCGGGGGGGGCATGTGTCCCCCCTGGACCCTATGTTGCTCCGTCCCTACCTCTGACCATGTTGGTACTTATTATTTCTCTTACATGGAGAAAAGTTGTCTTGAGAACTAATCTTGGTTGATGGAGAACATGTGAAATGCAAAAATGTTTAGGTTTCACAAATCTCTTCCCTTTTCTTTACCCTTCACGAGTCCCTCTGTAAATCCAAGTTTCAAAGAGTAAATGCGGCAAGGTAGTCCACTGCTGAGAGGAATTCATTGCATGGTCTCTGGCAGTAATTGACTCATTAAAATTTGGCCAATGCTGGTTGTTAGATTTTAACAAAAGAATGCCATCAAAAGATCAAAATTTAGCATTTAGTGGGATTCATGTAGTTAATCGAGTACACCAAAAATCAGCTTTGGTTTGATGACATCTTTTTCCAATTCCCCCTGTTTCTACGTACTAGGAAATTATTTCAGATGGTTTGAAGAAAGGATGTTCAAACTAAATAGTCAGAATTTATAAAATCAAACTGATTTTTGGTACATTTGCTATGATACCAATTTTTTCATAAATCATGATAAAATTGGCATGAGAACATGGCAAGATTACTGCTGTTTATACTAACAGTTCTGCAATATAGTTGGAACCAGATTCATAACCACTGACTCATTTTGGACAATTTCGGTTGAATTTAGCAATTGCAGTTCATTTGAAAGAATCTGTGAACAGCTAAAACTGTTACATTGCTTGATTAATTTGCTTTTCCTGTATAATTTTGAAATTTTTATTGTCTTACTGAACTTTGTAATTTATATGATTGCTTTATGGGCCATTTAATGAACATTTTTTGTTACCATGTTCAGTCCATAGAAGCTATTGTGCATTGCTAAAGATTACGTTGAGTTCTTTTCTAACTCTCACTTTGTGGCGGCAGATGTTCTTGGACAACTTTCTCTCACCAACCTGATTGTTGACTGAATTAAGGACTTCTTGTCTTCTTGATAGGTTGCCCAATGTTACGCGATGTTTAAGCTGTCTCTTCCCATGCTTAACAAAAGTTGGTTTGTTGAAGAGAATTTTCGCTGATGTCCACCAAAAGTGATTTCTTGCTTTCAGAATCAGAATAGTAGCAAAGCAAGTGTAGTTTCTTATACTGTTCAATTCATGCTATTTCCTCAAAATCCCTGCAATGGAATTCCCCATTACATTTGTGTAGTTGAACCGGAAGGTTCTCTGTAAAGAGTTGGTTAGTGACCTCTGTAGTTTTAAGTTTGGGTAAAAATGAATGCGAAAAAGTTGACTTTTGATTCTCTGGCGAGCAACCTAAATCGATGTTAAAGTTACAGGTATTAAAAATTTGGGAAGAATAGTGACTGTCAACAAAAATATCCAAGTGGCTACTACAAAATCTGTTCTAGCCCGTGGTGCCCTGGTGTTTACAAGTGGCATCAGATATGCGACAACTTGCTATAACCATGGTTGCAGCAACTCATATTTGGGGTGGGCATAGAGCATCCCCGAGTCGGGTTCAGATGGGAGAATATGTATCATTTCAAATCCAGCATGACATGACCTAATATTGGGCATAATCTAATATTTTCAAATCCAACTTCAAAAGAAGTAAATTTCAAGTCCACTTGATCCAATATATATTGTATTGCAAAAATGAATTGCATTTTTCCAAATAATTATTTGAACTTGGATCATTAACAAAATCTCATGGTAAAATAAATTTGGGTCTTCAGACAAATGTTTGAATTGAACTTTTTCACAAATGTTTGAATTTAAGCCATAGAAATAAGTCTATATACTTTTCTCATATTTTAGTATTTTTTTAGTTTACTATGTAATTAAAAAATATAAAATTAAATAAATGAATTCATCATAGTTGTGTGGGTTGCATAAACTTTGCGTCTCTACCACTAGGGGAGTGAAGAAGACTTGGTGAATCTTATATTATTCTAACAGGAAAAAATAAGTTCCAATCTACCAGTGAAATGACTTTTTAAACATGATTATGTGTTGTGACTTCCTTACAATTGCAATCATGTTAGAACTTGGGAGTTCATTCAAGAAGATTGTCTCAATTCAATACACTTGCTATAGAAATCTCGAGACAAGATTTTATAATTAAAAATTTATTGGTATAGAAGAATTTGGAGATTGAAAATCTCGAGCTGAGTTATACTCACAGTTAATGGGATGTGGGATCATTTGTACAATCATTTGTCCCCTATGTTTTAGTCTATAATATTGGTAATTTGAGAACATAAAATGAAAATGAGAGATGAATAAAACAGAGAGCAAAACAGATAATCCGTACTTTTTCATGGTTAGGCTAGAAAACAATAACAATAAACAAGCATGCTGACACTTTTTGAAGTCCATTGTTTTCAGGGAAACCCCAACAACCAAGTTGCTTTTGCTGAAGCTGATAATTTGTGCTCTAAACGCATTTTTTTTTTTTTTTTTTTTTTTTTTTTTAAACAATGGATGGCATGGAATAGGGAAATGGAAGTTGCACTCGTAGTGGCAAGCCTTGAATCCAAACATCACGCTTAGTTAGAGAATGCCTTAGGTAGGGTTTGGTAATTGCTTTTTTTAAGTAACTCTTTGTTTTTGCTTTTGCTTTTTTAAAATCTAAAAACATTGCCAAACAAGAAAAAATTGAAGATTTTTGAATGGTACAGAAGTTGAATGTTTGAGTTGGGAACAATTTAAGTTGTTCAAAAACTGCAAGTGCAGCTATGAACGGACTGAATAAGAAGGGATTGGAATTCACCGGACTGTTAATCCTGGGATACATTGTCTCCGGATTATTTGGTTAGACTGGATTGTATCCCATATTTGTTTAGTCATGGGATTAGATGCCTACTTGGTTGGATAATATATGAATCCCAGGTTTGTTTGGCATATTATGGAGAAGGATAAATGTTCAAATGACTATTTTACTTTTTTCAATTATTTACTATGTAATAGCAACATTAAACATATCTTTAATATTTTAACTATTTTTAACTAGATTAAATAAAATTTTATTTTATTTTATTTTTTACACAATTAAATAAATTTATTTTTAAAAAAATTATATAAATAAAATATAAAATAAATTTATTTTAAAAAATAATAATAATTAAATAATGAAATTAAATAAAACATCTATTAAAATTTAAATAATGAAATTAAGTAAATATAAACAAAATTTTAAAATAAAACATCAATATAATATCTATAAAAAAATTATTTTAAAAAATTAAATAAATAAAACATCAATAAAAATTAAATAAAATTATTTTATTTTTAGATTGAGACATTTAAATTTTATAGAATTTTGCTAAATATAATACATAATTAAATAGTAGAAGGTCAAAATAATCATTTCACCACCTAATTCCATATCCTCTTTATCCCTCCATTTGTATCCCACCCCCCAAGGGACACAATAGTTCTATAGATTTGAGACTAATAATCTGGTGCAAAAATTTTAAACTAAACAACGGACTAGTCCAATCCCATCCCTCAATCCCGCAAAAACAAACACCACCAAAATGCATTAAGTAGGCAGGAACTGATCTCATCGGCAGCAACAAGCTTATTAAAATGGCTAAAAATACATGTCGTGATCAGCAAAAATAGTCTCCATTTAATTGTTCTAAGCAACCAACAGTACACATCAGAGAGAAACTCTGTCCTCCTCACTTCATCATCATCATCTTCATATTCTTCTTCTTCATGATCTTCATCATCTATAGAGAATAAAGAGATTCATAAAAAGAAGCTTAGTAGACATAGCCCTTGACAAACATTCCTTTCTTTGCTTCTTCGGATTCTCCCTCACCGGTGTACTTGCCGAGTTGAGCCAGAGAGTTGGCGTTGGCACGAATGAGGAGAGTCTCCTGAGCAGCCTTGACATTCTCAGGGCGGCCTCCCCATGTCTTGAGGCAGGTGTTCTGGAGAGCTCTGGCATATGAGAAGGACACATGCCATGGGTTTGGACCTTGGTTCATTGCATTCAAGTTCAGTGTTGCCTCAACCTCAGATTGCCCACCAGACAAGAACTGATCATCAAGAAACACATTTTTCAACACATTAGTACTTGATTTGAATCAACAATACTATATCTATGAGCCATATTCATTGAGAGTGTGGCCCGTATCCCACTAATTTTAAATCTGCATCATACACTCCAGGAATAATTTTGGATAAAAATTCATGCTACACAGCATTTTGTGATTTCAAGTAGTGTCTAGCAAATGATTCTCCCTTTGGGTGGAAAACATTTTTCAAAAATGTGTTTTGAAGAAAAATGCTTTTGTGGTAGAGATGGTATTGGTGGTGCTAGGGAGGCAATGGCAGCAGTGGTAGCGGTGGTGGTGGCAGGGAGAACATTTTTCCACCTTTGTGTGTAAATTAGCTCATTTTCCATTGACTACAAATAATATATTTTTCAATTTCGTTTTCTGTCATACCAAACACAAGAAAGCACAAATATTTTCCAAAAACATTTTTCTGCTAAAACAAACAGAATGTTAAGGGACACTTGCCATGATTCCGGGGACGGCAGGGGGGATTCTCCTCTTGAGGAGCTTGAGGGTGTAATCAGCAACTTCTTGGGGTGTAGCCCTCTCCTTGCACTCAGCACCAGGGGTGACCATGCTGGGCTTGAGTAGGATTCCTTCATACATCACATTATTCTCAGCAAGGTAGAAGAACACCTCTGCCCAAACCTGCTGAGCCACTTCAAATGTCCTCTCTATTCCATGCTCTCCATCAAGCAAGATCTCTGGCTCCACTATTGGAACCAACCCATTGTCCTGCAAGTTCATTTATCAAGTTCTTCTCTATCAACGTGCTCGTGCACAAACAAATATAATTTAATTTTTTTAAAATGATGATTCACTAGTGCATGAGACTCCCGAGAAAGCAGTTTTCTTACTTGAGAGATGGCAGCGTAGCGAGCAAGACCCCAGGCAGCTTCCTTCACAGCCAAAGCAGATGGACCATTGGGAATGCTCACAACAGTACGCCTGGTTAATTCGTCATTGGTTTATGTTAATTGTAATTGAAATTGGAAACATAACTAATATGTATCAAGAAAAAATATCTAGAAAAATATTAAATGTGCGGATCATATTCATTATTTATAGAGATATACATACCATTTGGCGAACCGAGCTCCTTGTTGGTAGTAAGCAGCAGTGCGGGAGGCGAGTCCATCGAGACCCTGGCACCATGACTCGTTGTTTGATCCAACAAGTGGTACCAAACCCTGTACTCATTTTTGAAATATGTAGTTAAGATTTTTATTGACATTTTTAAATTTTAAATATTTTTTCTGGATACGTAACATTTACAATATGGATTATAATTACCTTGTCGACTTTGATACCGGGGACGATGTTCTGCTCGATAAGCACGTCAACTATCTTCTTGCCATCGACAGTGGACTGGTAGAGGGTCTCTTCAAAGAGGATGGCACCAGAGATGTATTTTCCGAGGCCAGGAGCTGAGACAAGGAGGGTGCGGTAGGCTTGGCGGTTGGCCTCAGTGTTCTCTAGCCCGATTGAGGCTAGCCGCTTCCCACAGGTTGCATTTGACTCATCCATGGCCAAAATTCCTCGCCCTGGCGATGCAACGGTTTTCTGTACCCATCCACACCAAGTACAAATCATTAATTTTAGATTCTTTTTAGTGTTTTAGAGATTTACATTAATTCTTATGCATAGGCAATGACATATATGATAATATCTTACAATTTTTTGTTCTCTTTGTTGACAAGAGAAGGTTTGAGAAGTCTTCATGAGCTAGCTTAGGCTTAATTGTATTTAGGGGAATAAACGAACCAAACATCTCGAGTTCGACTCTTGTTTGGTTTGTTAAAAGTTCGTTTGAGTTCATTTGTTAAGTAAACAAGATAAGTTTAAATATATTTTGGAGCTTGTTAAAGTTTTTAAACCAAATTTGAACAATCAATTACTCATCGACTCATTTTGATTAGCCTAAAATTATATAAAAATACCAAACTATTCCAACTTGGCACGACAAAAGTTCGTTTTACATTGGCTTAAAAAGTTTAACAAGCCAAGTTTGAATAGTTGATTGTTTGGTTTATTCAGCTCGTTGATCACCCTGCTTGTATTCTATGGGGTCACCTACAAGAGAAGTTTCTAATAGTGGTTTTGTGCCTCAATAATAGGATAATATGACTATTTTATAAGTGGGATTTACTCAATAATTTTTTTTGGCCCACAATTTACACAAGAAATTATTCAATAATCCCGGAGCACCACGTGACCATACTTCAAACCAATCACCAATTATTTAATCTCATGTTATTCTCTCATGCCTAACATAAATCGTCGTAGACCCCTACCCTCTCTACCAATCAAAACCTTATGGAACACTACGTGTCCATACTCCGAAAATACTACCCCGATTTACACTTCCATATGGTATGTAGGAGTACAAGGCGTGAAATCTTCTATCTCAAACACCTAATTTTTTTCTGACCCACGTTGTTTGAGTTATTTAAATACACGATTTACGCTTCTATGAGTTATGTTAGACTATAAAGCACAAAATCTTCAATTTGAAAAACTAAAATTTTTCTCAACTACCCACTAAGTTGCAATTAATGCTTTGTGCAGGTTACTTAAATACACGGTTTACACGTGTATATGTTAGATATTAGTATGAAGTATATAATCTTCTATTCCACATGTTTTCCATTTGCGATGTGTCAACTTCTAGTTAAAAAAATTTATCATCGTGACACGTCATATGATAAAAAATTTAAAGCAAAAAACAAGAAAAATGAGGACAGAGAATCTTATAAGCATAATTCACATAAGTTAGGGAGATGGAAATGAAGTAGGAGACATACCGCGGTTTTGATAAGCTCATCGGCATAGGAGGTAACAGCTCGGACAGTGAGAGCCGAGGGAGCGGTAGGGAGGCATCGGACAACTGAGACCGAGGGTTGGCGAAGGGTCTGACCCTTCACCCACTCGGATTTGTCAAGAACTGGTGATGATTTTAGGAGAGAAGCTGAGGCCATTGTTGTTGTTGTACTGTGCTCTGGTTGAGAAGCTGTGCGATCTTATCTCCTCTAGCAAAGCTTTCTATGCCTCTCTTTACCACACATGCTTTCTCACTCACTCTATTTATAATTGTTCTCTAGTGTCTGTATTATCAAAAGATGTCTCATTTGAGGCTGTCATGACTCAACCAACCATAGGTTGCCATGTGGATGATAATTTGCCTATGTGGCATAGGTGGCTGAAATTGATGGATTAATGCCCACCTTATAAAAATTAACAACTTAAAAATTGTAATGATAGTCCTGAAAACCAAGCTTTTTTTCACTTACAGTATGGACTCCAAACTACAGTTGTTTGGAGGGACAAGAATTCTCTGTTTGGTTTGGTTTGGTTTTTAAAATATGTTTTTTGCAATTTTTTGTGTGAAAAAGTAAAAATTAGTTTAACGAAAATAAATATTAAAAACATATTTTTGATCCAAATAAATAAATAAATGAATCGTATGAAAATGATGAATGTTTTTCATTTTTTCATCAAAATAGTTGTTTATTTTAAAAAAAAAAAAAATTACAAAAGACCCAAATAGATTACTGTTAAAAATATTAAGAGATAATTCAACGATCATAAATAATTTTAAAACAACAAAATACAGAAAGAATTTGAAACAAAATATCAGGGTCGTTTTGGAGATTCCCCTTGGAAAATGAAATTGAGGCTGTGATCACTCTGTTGTTTTTTTTTATTTTTTATTGACTAACGGCTGTGGTTTTATTCCAGGATTTGAAGTGACTTGATCACCATGTCAACGGCAGACAACTTGCCAAGTCAGCTACCTAGGATCTGTGGTTAGTGTAAACATTAGAGAAAGCCCAAAGAACTAATTATAGCAGATTCACCTTGGAGCAGTCACTCAATTTAGCTTGCTGGTGACCCATTTGGGAAGACAGTACTGTATGGTTGAGAGAATTCAAATTCAACAAAGCAAAGCGCAACCATGGAATCAAATCTTTGATTTGGTCATCAACATCAGAGACATTTATGTGTTGTGGCATCAGACTTCTTGTGCAGAACTGTAAGGGCACATGTTCAATCATTAGTTTGAAATACAATTCTCATCACTCACTTTTAATTCAAATTAGTGAAGTTTAAAACAGTTGACATAGTCTTAAAAATATAAAAAATAAAAAATAATCAAGATATTGAGCATAGAACTGGGAATGCCATAGAACTGGGAATACCATTGAGCATAGAACTGGGAATGCCACTAAATACCATTGACAGTCTTCAAATGAACAAAGTTGCTTTCATAACATGAGCCACTAAATACCATTGAGCATAGAACTGGGAATGCCATCATTTCACACCCTCCTTTCCCACTACCCCCAATTCTCCAATCAAACTTGGTGCTATTCCAACACTCAACTAACCCCCATATGAAACTAGGTAGTTGGGTCATGAGGAGTCTAGTTAAGTCTTGGTAGTTGGGTCATGGGAAGTCTAGTTGAGGTTATAGCCTCTGACAAATCAACCTCCTGACCTAACAAAACAGAATGCACGTCTATCCCAGTACAACTTCATTTACAAATATAATTTTCATACAAAAACTCAATCAGAATGATGTGAGAGTTCCGTTTTTTAAAATTATCAGTCAATATAGTAGATGTTTTAATTACATTGCACTCTCCAATATTCTAACACAAACTCAACCACCATTTAGATAGATCAATCTGTACACACAGCAAAAGGCAACCCACCACACCCAGATGTGCCATTGTTTTTTTATAACTCAACTCCAAAATTTTAGTGTTTAACAGAATTTTCATCCAGAATATTGATTCAGAGAAAGGTCTGAAATGCCAGCAATGAGATCATCAAGTGAAGGCATTGAGCGCACGGAGCTTTCTACAAGGGCCTTGTTAAGCTGTTTAACAAGTTCACCATCTTCCTCATCTGGGATGTCCAAATCCCAGACCCTGAAGATATCTGCACCCAATGACTCTCTTTCAAATACAGGAAAACCCAAATCCAACCCAAGATCAGTATTTTCAATTTCTTTCACATCCTCGCTGTAATTTGGCAGAAAAGGATTTCCCAACTTAGTTCTTGACTTTAATTTGTCAACCTTATTGAGGACTATGTAATCATCACTGTTCTCTTCCACTTCATTATGGAGAACATCATCGTCATCATCATTATCATCATCATTATCAACAGTCCTTCCCAGATGGGGTGGCGTTTGTGCCTCTTCAATGGAAGGAAGACTCTCAAAATCAGTTCCTCCAGTAAAACCATCGCTTCCAGCTGCAGAGAAGCCAAGTGAATCATGTTGTGAAGTTGTAATGTCCAGACAGTTCAGTAAGGCAGCTTTCAGAGAATCCCAGTTACCATCTGATATTTCAGAATCTTTGATGAGGCATGAATCAGCCCAGGCTACATCTTCTGGGGAAAGTGCATCTCCACCCTGCTTGGACTCCACAGAATCAAGAAAAAAAGAGCACCCGGCACCTCCCATCACATCATCTCCCATAGCCATGGCTATAAAATGGAATGGAGTACAGAATTGTTCCCCCTGTCAGTAACATATAATGGCAACCGTCAGTCTTACCAAGGAGATCTATTAGTATTGCACTACCAATTATTAATTGTAAAATCAACAGATTTTCTGGATGGTTAGTTCTTCACAATATCAGCTGGTTTTCGTTCTGCTTAAATTCAAAAGAATCAAAACATAAAGGTCCCTGATAAATAAAAGAATTGATATTGCCAAGTGAGGTATGAAGCGCGCACTGATTAGAAAGGTTTCAAACAAATGATGACTTCATCAGCTGACAAGCAGCTTAAAATTACAACATTGGTCAATGGTTGCAGAGCTGCAAACCAGAGGCAAGAGTTGTGATCAATTGCATAGCAACATGCAAGCTATAAGGTGCAACAAGTGTTTTAGCGAGTGGGACCACTAGCACCCACTATCATATGAGTTATGACACCCTAAAAACGAATATCCCAAATGACAGGAATCATTTACAGATTGGAAAAATAGGCAAAAACAATAAGCAAGGTCAACATTCAACAAAAAAGGAACATGGTAACAACTGATGAAGACAGTTCTCAGTAGCATCACTCTAACCAAGTTCTTCAGTTACAAACAACACAATTCATTTACATTAAACTACCAAAGAGCAGCATACTAGTTTAAATTGACAATTCGGTTTTGACAAACCTCAAGATTTTTGTTTGTACCAGTCAGATTACATTGACTCACCCACAGGGTCGTCTTACATTAAGTCTTAATGCTGATAATCGTGCAGACAATCTCAAAGCATATAACTTGCTAGAGTTACTGCCCCTTGCAGCTGTAGAATTTCACTGTAGTGGAACACCTTAGGTTCCCTTCCCATTCTCATCTTACACAAAGTGTGCAGCCACACATCAACGTTGTAAGATTTGATGTATTGAGAAATAGAGAGTATGAATTATGTATTGATATATTTTGTACAATGGTTCAGGAGCTCCTTATAAAGGAGAAGTTTACAAACAATGCACTCAAAAGCAACCGAAAGCAAAGACATCATGATTAGCTAGGACACACTTTACAGCTAATAACAACATAGAATACACTAACAATATAATGCACTAACAAACGTAATGTTTAGCAAAATCATTACTGTATAATTACAGCATAAAACAACAAAATGAAAGGACTGGCCTCAAGAAAAACATTCTACCAAATTTGGCATGCCAAATTTGTTCATATTTCAGGGCTTTCTGTCAAATGCAAATAATGTAGCCTTCCTTGCAGCATATATACAAGGTGTCAGATTTCAGAAAGTAACCAACAATCCCACATATATCAGCAAAGAACATGGCATCGGTATCCTAAAACACTATATTGCATAACTATTTCAGAAAACCTCAAGTTTTAGATAAGTAAGAATCCAAGAATTTGTTAATGCTGTAACAAATACAGTCCTACTCGCACCAATGTATAACACCTCTATCAGGACACAAATCGAACATGGGTACATAAGAAGAAGAGACAGGCCCTCATATTCTATGGTGGCTTTCTGTGAGAAGATCAAATTCCCAAGTGCAGATGATAAATCTTCCATTCTTAAATTGAATCACTAACTGTGTAAGGAAAAACAAAATTGGGTAACAAACTAACAATACCATCTCAACAAGGGCTGCACATGGGTTGGGTTTACCGCTAAACCATCAACCGACCGGCACCATTCGGGTGGAGAAAATGTCAACTGATTTGGCCCAAACTCCTTTCGATTTTGACCCAACCATTCAGTTCAATTACCGGGTCGGACCTTAATCTATGTTACACGGACTCTTCAAAATAAATTAAATACCCATGTCAGACACCCGACACTTGGACAAGGGTATGTGATATGTGCCATATACTTTTCATCAAACACTTCTTATATAATCATATTTAACACTATTATTATATGTACGTATTGTTGTATAATTGCTATAAATGCCTTTTTGACATTGTAAGTTACATATAACACTTTCATCTCACATACTTGATCAAAAATATAAAAATATCATTTTTTTTGCCGAGTTTGCGTACCCGAGTCCATGTAACATAGGCTTTTAACTCAAAAGGAATTGAGAATCTCATAGATCTATCAATTTTGGTAAACAAGAACGGGGAAAAAAAAATTGAAACAAATTTATCACTTTCCTTTAGCATGGATCTATCAAATTGGTAAACAAAAATAAAATAAAATCAAAAAGATTGAAACAAAATCTTGTAATCTAATATTACTGTTGGACTTTAAGAAGATAATTGTCGACAGTCACTCAAAGCCTCTAGTATCAGACGTACTCACCGGATGAAGATCTAAGCAATCTCCGGCAGCAGAGAGCTTTCCCATTCTTTGAATTTCAATTTGTGAAAGAGGGGACTGTGCTGAGACTAAATTATGAATATTGTAAGGTGTAAAGATGAACTTAAGACCAAAAATGGTGCCTACTATGGCTAGGGTTTGAGAAAAAACAAAATTGCCTGAGAGAGAGAGAGAGAGAGGGAGAGGAAGTTTGATCAAAATGAGATGGGTTGGGAAGATAAAATACCTCAGCTAGGGTTTGAGAGAAAAACAAAATCGTCTGAGAGAGAGAGACAGAGAGAGAGAGGAAATTTGACCAAGATGAGATGGGTTTGGGAAGATAAAGGTGCCATATGAGATTCCCAAGGAATCATACCATGCGTAAAATATATTAATTTATTATAACACTCGGTCGGTTCAGGTAATGCAATTTAATAAACAATCAACCCGAAATCCGACTGATAACTCGAATTATTTAACTCTCTGGACCCGCAGCCAACTGCTGCAAAGTGTGAAACCGTCCATTGCAGTGTTTAGCAGGTCAGGTTCAGTCGAATTCATCGGGTGATCGGTTCTATGCACAGCTCTAATTCAACATTTAATTTTTCAGTAATTTTCAGCAAAAAATTGGACTGCCTGCCCCATGTTCTTGGGATTAAACTTCTGTGAGCTGTCATTGCTTAAGCAGCATTAAAGTACAGAGATTGGAACATCACCCAAATCAAAGTTGGACAATAATCATCATAAAAAAACTTCTATAAGTGTTTGACGTGAGCTGAAAATTAACTATAGGTTTATTTATCAAAAAAAGAAAAAAAATTACTATAGGTTCTACTAAAGTTTACTTTCAGCTGCATCAATTATGTTCATTTAGCCATGTTACAGAATCTCAAGTTCCATGGGTAAATTTGGTTTATCACCTAAACCCAGACAATCAATAGCCTTCCTAATTTTCCAACCTAACTTTACAATCAAAGCAACTGGTCTCGGTTTCTAAGTGGCAAACAAACATTAAGTTTCCATGATTTGATTTGGGGATAAAGAATTTAAACAAATACTTCAGTAATTTTGTTAATTTGTCATCCAAATAACACCAAATTAAAAATTCACCAGTACAGAACCACTGTGACCAATCTTGACATGAATAAAATTGAAACTCAAAACTCAAAACATTGAAACACAAGCACAAAGACTTCCACAAACAAACACCTAACCACAAAATATAGGGAGAGAGAGAGAGAGAGAATGTATACCTGTATAAGGGGAAGAAGAAGAAGAAGAACGAAAGAAGAAGAATAGGCAGACCTTTGTCGTCAACGAACAATGAAACCCTAGATTTTGAGCGAATAAAAACTTTCTAATTTGCAGGGTATATATATGGGTAACGTTAGTGATTCATCACCGAATTTATTTTTGAATTGATCTAACTTAGACTTTCATTCAGCTAAATTCGTACTGAATAAATTGAGTGGATGTAATGTAACAGTAATGTAAGAGTAATTACACCAAGTGAAATTTTAGAGAAAAAATAACACATATTCATAAAAAAATAATTAAATAATTAATTATAATTATTAACAATTATAAAAAATTTCATTTGATTTATAAACTTTTTTAAAAAAAATTCACTAATATAATATTTTTCTTATATATATTAACAAGTAAGGTGGACAAACATCCATTAAATTTTATAAAGTAAACGGTTTTGATAGTCTGAATAGATACATACAAATATATTTTTTCTAATCTCTTTAAGTTCGGATGATTAGTAAATGGAGACTATTTAACTCAACCCGATCCGTTAACATACCCAAAAAAAATAATGTCATGTTTTTGTGCTTTGTGTGTTTGAAAAATTATATTTTATTTAGGGGCAATTTATTTAGGGGCAATTTGGCAACAAGCTAAAAGAGTTAATTTTTTGACTTTTTAACTTTTTTTAATCAAAAAAATCATTTTTCTTAGCCAAAGAGACCAGCTTTTTTGCCAAAAAAAGTCATAAAAAAGGCTAAAAAGTCAAAAAAATCAACTTTTTACTTTTTGCCAAAAAAAGTCATAAAAAAGGCTAAAAAGTCAAAAAAATCAACTTTTTACCAACTTGTTAAAACACCACTTAGTAATTAGATTTGCTAATCATGAAATATAAAAGGAATATTTTTTGATAAATCTTCTTTCTAAGAGTTTTATTCCATCCAATATATATTCTTTTTAGGGGAATTTTTTTTTAGGTCCCTGGTATTTAGACTTTACAGCATAAAAGACACGCAATATTTTCATAATGTATAAGGTCCCTCAAGTTGATCCAGAGAAAATTAATCCAGAGAAAATTGGTCCAAAGAAAATTCCTCAATATTTTCATAATTTCTTCACCTGTTTGAATTTGCTGCGTTACCACCATGGGTTTGTCTACATGGTCCAGAGAAATTCTTTGGTTTAAACTGAATTTTCTTTGGTCTGAACTGAATTTTCTCTGGACTTTCTCTGGGTTGGTCCAGAGAATTTATCTGGTTTGGTTGGTCTGAATTTTCTCTGGGTTGTTAGACTGAAATTTGAGGAGCTGATGCATACTTACCTTGATTGAATTGCCCATGAGATTTGTGATGATTTGCCGAAATCTACCTGGATCTCCATAATACTGAAATTCTTGAATCGGGAAAATTCAGTTTAAAAACTAAAGAATTTCTCAGGACCAACCCAGAGAAAATTCAGTTTAAAAACCAGATAATTTCTCTGATTTCAACCCAGAGAAAATTCAGTTAAAAAACCAGAGAATTTCTTTGGTTTCAACCCAGAGAAAATTTAGTTAAAGTGAATGGCCATAGTAGTGAGGCAACAAAGGATGCTGGTGTAATTGCTGGTCTCAATGTGATGCGTATCATCAATGAACCCACTGCTACTGCCATTGCTTATGGTCTTGACAAAAAGGCAACTAGTATTGGCGAGAAGAATGTTTAGAAACTCTAGAGCGGTGCATTGGTGGATTACACACAAAATAATAATAATAAATAAATAATTAGAATTAAAATCGAACACATGCATTAAGAAAATGAAAACGCAGTGATATATATGTAGTAGCATTGAAATTCAAATACCATTAGTCCAGAGAAAATTATCATTTTTGTAACTAGTTATAACAATCTATTATAGGCCTTTTCCAGTTTCTCTCTCTATTCAGGGCAAATCAATTATAGGAAAATCCAATCTGGATTTGGGTATAGTCATAACAAAACAACACAAATATTTGATATTTGGCCAAGATGGCAATGATTCTGCGTATTGGTGAAAATCTGAAGCTTATTAAGGGAGATCAGGGAAAATGGTGTTCTTAGAATACTCACATTTTGCTTACCATACACAGTTTCATTCTCATGATACTGTTAAAGGTTTCAAAAAACCTAGTATAATGATCACAAATAATTTAAATTATTCAACTCATAACTTCAAATCCACTGCCTACCAAATACATCATAGGTAAAATAAGTTACTAGATTGAAGGATAACTAAATGAGAGACTGTACAATATAGGAGCATGCATATATATATTGGTGAAAGGAAGAGTAACAGCACCAAAATGCATGGATACAACAGAATCGTTCTACAGCACAGGCATTGTATAAATGATTCAATCACAGAGAAAATTCAAATATCTCTAGGTTCAGTTTGACCAATTTTCAAACCAGAGAAAATTGATAAATTCTGGACTTCCCAAGCCCAGAGAAAATTGGTACAATTATTAGAATATTGAATTTGAAGCTGTGATTTCAAATCTTCCACTTTGTTGGGTTATGAATTAAAATTGGTTTTTAAAAATTCAGGTGGCCTCCTCTCTCTCTCTAGCTCGAGACCATCCATTACATGCAAGCAAATCCTTTAAAACCACCATGGATGATGCTACTATTCGGGTGAAGCAAGAAACCAAGCGACCAAGGTTCGAATGAATAGACACAAACCCAGACCTCTCTCTCTCTCTCTCTCGGGTGGAAGAGAGCATTGTTTGTGAGACACATGCATGATCTCTTTATCTATTACCTTCTCTCTCCTCCACTGGGGCAAAACCCAGCTTGCTCATAGCCCATGGCTGCCACTCTAGGGGTCGTCGTCATCACCGAAGCCCAAGCCACCTTGCACACCATTGGCGGTCATAGCTTTGGTTACCATTAACGTCGCGACAGCTCTGGCTACCATCGGTTCATGTCGATACCATCTCCACCTCATCTTGGTGCTTCACTTCAGACTATCACTCGTCGGAGTCGGATCCATCGATGGCTATTTCCATAGGCGTAGCAGCAGAAGAGGAAGACGCAATGTTATTGTTGCTGGGCTCGGCCATATCTGATGAAGAATCAACAACGCGAAGTCGAAGAGAGAGAGAAGAATTGTGGGCAAAGAGTCAAATTTCTCTGATATATGTTTAGGGACCTTAAACATCAAAAAAATAATTTTGTGGATCTCTTCCATTACGAAAAGTGGGGGAGAGACCCTAGACTAATTTTCCCTTCTTTTTAACTATTCCATTAGATTTTATTTGAGATAAGAATATCAAAACACCTACATTCTCTCTTGCCCCTATTGATGTTGATATTTAATATTGATTGTCATTATGTTTCGGTAGTTCTCGGGGATCAAGATGTTGACTATCATTATATTCATATTAATTTAAAATGAATTTTTGTCATTGTGTTGTTAACTACATAATGTGAAATGAATATTCACATCTATTTAAAATGAGTTTTTGTCATTGTGTTATTAATTACATGATGTGAATATTCATATTAAAGCATACGAATGTGAACGTTCACATCATTACATTAGATGATGTTGTGAACGTTCACATCACCACATGTTTGTGAATAAGAATGTGTTGTCAATTAAAAATATAATTAACGTTATTTTTAATGTGCTATCAATTAAAAATAAGAAGGTTCACATGTTGTAAACGTTCACATCACTACATTAGATGAGAGAAAAAATTTCGAAAAGGTGTTGTAAACGTTCACATCAAATGAGAGAGAATGATCACATTATTTTTAATGTGTTGTCAATTAAAAATATATTCACATTATATAATAATATAAAATAATAACATCAATTTTATTTTATTTGTGTATAAATTTCTTATACCTTGGTTCTTTCTCTTCTCCCTCATACCTCCAACATTAAATATTAACATTAAATATCAATATTAAATATAAGGGTATAAGAGTTTAAGAAAATAGCATAAATCAAGAAAAAAGACTTTATGGAATAAAAGTATAAATACATATGACTAAGTGAGTTAAAAAATTTATTCATGAACTTCTTGGGTTAAAACACTTCTAAATGAGATTTATTAATAAAAATCCCAATATAAAACTCAAGACTTTATTTTTATTATAATAAATGAACATGAGAAATTTTGAGCTAAAATGTCAAAAAATTATTTAAAAAGTCTGTTCTCAAACGAGGTCTAAAATAGTAAAGACAATTATTGAAAAATAATTCAAAAAACTATCCAAAATAATAAAGTTTAAATCGTCAAAATAATTCGCATCTACCATTAATTCATACCGATTTTTCAAACCATACTCGCACTTAAATTTAAATGGATGGCAGATGGGATATCACTTAATACAATTTGCATCTGCACTTAAATTCAAATAAACCATACTTAGGTCTCGTTTGGTAATATTACTTTTTAGTTTAAAAGTCATTAAAAAAATTAAAAAGACAATAATATATATCAAAAAGTCAAAAAATTTCATTCGTCTTTATTTTTTATACATCTTTTCATAAAAAATTAAAAAATCATGCCAAACATATTATTTTTTTTTAATATCATATTTTAACTAAAAAAACCTATTTCCAAACTAGCCCTTCAATTCAAATAGATAGCGGATGAGATATCCCCGACTCAATTTGTGAGCACCCTATTAACCAGAACAGTTCGAACTTTACTATAGTTTTAGAATTCAGTTGTGAAGGGAAAAAATAAAAAATAATTTAAGTTAATAACAAAAATAACAAGAAGTAAAAAGTTCCGTTGCCGGGACTTGAACCCGGGTCTCTCGGGTGAGAGCCGAGTATCCTAACCAACTAGACTACAACGGAAGCTGATATCATGGGCTGTCAAATATTAATAAATTTACATTCTTTGCAATAAATATAATTATTTGAAATAAATTGTTTTGAATATAATTTATAAACTAATACACTCGAAAATTTACATTCTTTGAATTAAATATAATTATTTGAAATAAATTGTTTTGGATATAATTCATAAACTAATACACTCTATTTAAAAGTGTAAATTTCAAAAAATTATTGGGTGTAGATAGGGTACTACGTGGCATGTCACATGGTACTTTTAACCAATTACAAATATTATGCCTGTTTGGTGCAGTTTAAAAGCTGCTTATTTCAACTTTCAATTTAATTTAAGTTAT